TGGAAAGACCGTCAGTGTTACCAGCTACTGTCTGGAGGCTTTGTGTCAGGATGATGGGTGCTGTTAGGGGCAGGTGATGACTTCCCATTTGCCACTGACCCAACTTTTCCTCCCCACGTGCAGGTTGGTGGTTGAGGTATCTCTGTTGCCTGCCAATGCCATGCCAGAGGCCTGGGGTGCAGGTCTGGCCCTGCTCCGAGATTGGCTGCAGCACAGAGGTGTTGTCTGGGGGCTCCTTTGAAAATCCAGGAAAGGAGCAGGGACCAATTGTCCAGGGCTTGATGGTAGTGAATGTGCCTGCTAGCAGCTCCCGTGCTTTTGGTTTATGCCTTGGGTTATGCATCTCTCACCCCCTTTGGGCTCCATGAGCTGCCACTGATGTGGCAGGGTGATGATCAGGGTGTTTGGGTGTACTAAACACATTTCTGCTTACGGAGGCCTCATGCTTTATTTATGCACTTTCTTTACAGAGACCTGTTGTAATATATAAACACATTCTGTCCAGCACATGGCAGTAAACAACCCAATGACCTGAGATCACACCTCCATTCCTTGTGCTCTCAGACCTGGCAGCTGGAGCTGTGCATGCTTTGAGCGAGGCACAGGGGCTGTGCAGGCGGGTAGGAAATGAGTAATGGTGACTCATCAGTGCTGGGGGGCTGTGGTAGTGGCTGTGAGAGCCATTCCTCGGTGCACATCATTGAGTGGAGGGGCTGTCTTTGGGGTGGTTGGCACAAGTAGCTGGTTCCTGCTCCTGCATTTAGCAGCGCCTTTCCAGGAGGGGAGCAGATATGGGAAGCCTGGTCCTTTGCGAGATGTGCTGCAGCCAGCGAGCATGCATATTAATGGAGGGCAACTTTGTAGGAGTTTCCTCACTCCCTGCCCTCATGCTTCCAGCCAACATCACCATGGGCACCACATTACCTTTACAAAGCTGTCTTGAAGAGGGAGTGCCAGGTCTTCCACAGCACAGGCATCTCAAAGGGGTGCTTGAAATGAGCTCAGAGGGGAAATGTATCCAACTGCCTCTAATCACACTCCAGTGACAATGGCACGATTTTGAACATGGCAAACAGGCTTTGAATGTCAGTGCATTGTTCATAGTGAGATATGTGTCATGTTGCATTAGCTCAGGCCGACAGCTACCAGTGGGAAAATATTTCTGCGAGTTCCTTGGAGTGCCCCCACCTCCTACAGGCAGCGACTTGTGCTGTCGTGGTGGCAGCAGAACCGCCTCGCCACGCTGGGAAGCAAAGAGACCATCTGGTGCTGCGCACACGGAGGAGGCTGAGTGCTGTGTCCGAAGGGCAGGCGTGCCTTGTGATGGTCGTGTACTCATGAAGTACACATCTGGCTGTTTGGGAGATGAAGCCCAGTTTTATTTCTTGGTAACTTCTGTTCAGGGGGCAGAACGATGGGGTGAGCCGTGCCCAGATGGAAGGTGGCAGCCAGCAGTGCTGGCAGCAGGGAAAGCTGTCTTGTTGCTGTCTGCAAGCTACGGAAGCCAGAAGCTTGGAGCACGCTTTGGTGAGCGTGCAGAGCAGTGCAGAGCACAGCCTTCCTTGTGAGTGTGAGCTTTCCAAGGCACCATGCAGCAGTGTGAGGGTGGAGCGGGCATGAGATGCTGCACAGCGAGAGGACAGCTCGCTTGGAGGCTGCTTTGCAGGGCTGAAAAGCCTTTTGGAGACGTCCTGCGTGCCCTTCTCTAGGAGTGAGCCTCCAGCTCTGCTCTCCCAGAGGCAGAATTTGGCTGGGCAGCTCGTTGTGCAGCCCGTGGGCCATGCGGTGCTCACAGCTCCTGCCTGCTCCCATTACTTTGTTATTCCAGCATCAGCTTTTCTGAGTGCCTCTCTATTTTCTTCCAATGTCAAGAAGGTGAGGGGGTCAAACGCTAATGCAGTATTTCTTTCCTTTCATAAAATGTACCTAGCAGATGAGGAGTGTCAACACCGATTTGTTTTTCAAGTGTTTCTGCAGGATTATTTTCTTGTTAAAAGTGACAAGGAGGTGCAGAACTGTTGGCCTTTAGCCAGAGATGTCATCTTGTCTTCGCGGAGGTGAGCGGGCACAAGATGACAGAGCACTTTTTTGTGGGAAAGATGAAAAGCTGATCCCAGTTTAATCATTTCCTTGAAAAGCAAAAGGTGAACGCGCTCCCCATCTTTCTCCAGTCCTCTGTAATGAGAGGCTGGAGAGAGGAGCTGGCAATTAAGCCGTAGTTAGTGCAAGACGGTTCCCTGATAGGTATTTTTGCAGACCTCTTTTCAGTGCTGCTGTAACTGGCCTGAGCGTGGCTATCCATCTGTAGCCTTTTCAAATTCCATTGCGTCTCCTGTCAGCCAAATCCGACGGTGCCTTCAGCAAAAGGAAGGTGCTCCTGTCGCAGCCACAGCTCAGAGCAGCTGGGGAGACCCATCCTGGCTCCTGTGTTCTCAGCCTGGCTGAGGAAGGAGCCCTGTGCCCAGTGCTGCTGGTGGGAGCCTTGGCATGCAGTGCACGTCCTGCGCTGGGCAGCAAGGAGCCATTAAATGCTGCGCTCCAGTCTTTCACTGCCGATGTTTTCTGGCAGTTAAGGAGACTAATAAATGACTCGCCACTTGACGTAATCATTAAAGGGTCTCTGATGCCATTAAAATCCTCTTCTCTCCCGCCTCCACAGGGGCCTTGAGTGACCCTCCAGGAGAGGGAGTGCTGCTGATTAATGATGCTTTTTGTTGGGTCTCTGGTGGGATGGAGGCACAGGAACCGGGCTGGAGCACATCTGGAGAGCTGGTGGTGCGAGAGCATTGGTGCCCAAGCTTCTGCAATTGAGCAGTTGTGATGGCAGTAAGAGAGCAGCAATACACTGACATCAGAGCATCGCTGGGGCACAGGTGAGTGGTGGACTCAGTTATCACTGGAAGTTGTTTGGTTCTTTTCTTTAATTTCTCCCATTGTTTTTAGATATTTGGGCATGTCAGGCTTGCTTCAGTTCGGTCAGACTAAGGAAAAGAAATGCACAGTTTGACAAAGATTGCCACTGCAATACTTGCACTCGCAGTCTGCATTTTTTCTTCTAGCGAAGTGCTGCCAGAGCCTCGCAGCCATGTCGTGCCTCTGCAGCAGGGTGATGGGAATAACCTTGTGTGGCAGAGCCTGGTGCTCCCATCATAGCTCTGTGCAGGTTTCCCAAATGCTGCAATCAGGGTGCCTATGTTTTTCAGTTCCACTTCTCCCTGCAGAACTTGTGTTCCGTGGGGCAGGAGCAGAAGCTCCTCCTGAGCCCAACTGTTCCATGCTGCTGTACCTGCATGGAAACACTGCCCCGTGATGGAGCTCCTGAAGCCTGTTCCTTTACAATCAGCTCATAATAAAACTTTTCAACTTTTCACATGGGGAAAGAAAAAAAAAAAAACAACATTGGAAAAACAAGTAAACTGCAGACAGCATCCGAAATGATCCCTGCAGGGAGATGTCAGCCAGCAAGAGCAGACAGAGCAGTGTGGAAGTGGGGGGATCAGTGTATTCTTCTGTCATTGCTCCAAGTTCAGAAATCCAGCAACTTTGGAGGAAGTTGTATTTAGAGAAGTAATAAAAAGGCAACTGACTGGCATGAAAACATCAGCGGAATTAATATATGCAAGAAACAAAGGGAGCAAGGCTCAGGCTGCTGCAGGAGAGGCTCTTTGGTGGGGGAGGTCAGGGTGCTTCCATCTGTGCTGGTGGAAAGGCGAGCAGAAAAGCAGCAGAGATGAGTCTGGCCTTGTCCAGAAATAAATTAGCAGAAGTAAGTAATCTAGATCCAGCTTCCCATGAGTTCTGGCTTTGCTAACGGTGATATCATACCTCGCTTTTAACAGCTTTTGTGATCTCAGAGCAAAGTATTTAAAAAAAAATAAAACCAAGATAATTCTTTTGTTTGGACAAAAAGGAAAAAAAAATACCAAAAAAAATGAAAAACCAACCCAAAAACCCCTAAGAGCCCTGAAGTGACCTTTTATTCTAAGTGAAGGAACAGGCATGCTGATGGCTTTTTCAGATACAGAGGCTCTCAGCAAAGCAGCCCAAGCGCCAGACAGCACTCCTCTATGGGAACGCTGCCGGCAGCGCACACTTGGCCCTATTGTCTGTGGGCTTGTATGGACTAGTCGGTGGGAAATGAGGCATTTCCTTTTTGCAGCTTGCCTGCATGGAGTGCAGGAGGTCAGATCCTGCCCTGCCTTACACCGGAGTTGTGCTGCGGGTTCTGCCTGCTTTACACCAGCGTGAGTGGGATCAGACTCTGCGCTCAGGTGTCGGGGAGCTTTGACCTTCTGGGTCTTTTGGGGCATCGTAAGTTAAATGTCCTGATTAGCCTGCACTGTAAATCCAACGTTTTAATTCTTTCCATATGTAAGATTCAGTCTAATAAGCCAAGGTTTAAGACCATGCAGTCTATTTGGAATAACCATATGGATTAGGAGTCAGACTGTGCTTTTCTGCTTCTTGTATTTATACTAATGTAGAGACATTTGCTAATGTGCATGTAGCTCATGCTGGTATCCATTTTTGAAAAATATTACACCAAATGGCTTGCATTAAAATATTTGAGAAGCAGTAAAACTGTGAAAGTTTCTTTCCCTCGCTCACAGAGAGACGCACAACTGTGAAATGAGGCGTCTGCAGGCAGCGCCGTGCCTGGCTCTCCCCTTAGCTTTATCTGCAGGGCTGATGGAGCTCAGCATTGATGATGAGGCTCACAGACATCCTCAGGTGGCTGGTAACTCACAGCCCATCCCCATGGCTGTTCCCCATGCCCTGCTTGTGTAGGCTGGCTGTTGTTCCTGGGAGGTCCCTGCTGTCCTGCTCCGCCTGTCCCCTGCTCTCGTGTGGGGCACATGGAGCTCCCTGGCTTGCTGCTACCTCTTGCTTTCCCACTCAGCATTCCCACCATTTCCTGAGCAGCATTTCTACCTCTTGTCCATGTTTCACCCCTTCTTTCTGCTTCTTGTTAATGAAGTGGTTGTTTTGTTACATTTCTGCAGCTGGCAGTACGAGGGCACTGTGCAAGAGGATTCGCTGAGGACAGCCAGATGAGCATCCCCAGATTGAGGAAGAGCTCTCAGGTGTGTTGCTGGCTTTCTTGGCTGTTTGTTGGCTTTGCCTCTGTTCTGAACAACCGCAGCCTTGGCTCCTGTAGAATCGGGGAGCAGTGGTGTGGGGGGAGTGCCTTCCCCCAGGAGTTCTGAGGGACACACATTGATGCTGAAACAAGGAGAGCCCTCCCGTAGCATTCAGTCTTCTGCTGGAGGTGCATGCCCGGTGACCAGAGCCAGGTATCTTCCCCTCTCCTCAACTTATTTCTTGTAAAGATGCATTTCGACTAAAGAAGGAACTGAGTTACTTTTCCCAGGGTAGCAAAAGCATCTGGGCTGGGATTATAAAGCAGTCAGCTTGTTATGGAAGCCAGAGTCAGGACCTGGGGTCTGAACGAGCGTTGGAAAGCATTTCCAAGTGGGAGTTGCACTCTGCCATCCGTCATTTGTTCAGACGGAGGAGAGGGAGTCAGTGTGAGACATGGCAACTTCTTCCTCCCTGTCTCCAGCATTAATCTAAATGCCAAAAAGCAGACCTTGTGGAATGCACCAGCATTATTGAAAGCACTAGCCTCTAATTCCATATGGCATGAAAATATCCCCCAGGTAGTGTTTAACAGACACCCAGCACTGTCTCACAGCTTGTAGGTTAATGCAGCCAGCTTGGCTGTTTATTCATGCCGGTATTAGGCCATATTGAGGAGCCGTTGTGTTAGGCTGCCTAAGGTGACAAGAGAGCCCAGAGAGGGAGGAACGCGGCGGAGACGATCCGAACGCTGTGCTGGAAATTGTTTATTGAAAGGAAAGGATCATATTACACTCAATTTTTGCTGAGTTTATCTTGGTTTTTATCAGATTACACGCGGGATAACTCATCAATATTGTGATCCTGCTGACATGTAAGTGAGCAGCTGCATAATTCATGGCTGCTGCAGAGCTCCGGCAATGGGAGGCACATATTTAATTAGGCACTTCACCATTTCACTCTTTTGGAGCAGCTCTGGGATTGAGCCCGTGGAGGTGGATGAGGTGGATGCTGCAGCACGTGGGCGCTCTGCAGCAGAGGGGCTGTGCTGCACCTGGCACATCTGCAACAGGTTCCCTGCAGCAACAGTGCTGAGTTCAGAGCAGAGCCTCGAGTCATTAAATAACACTGTAATAGGCAAAAAATGCAAAGAAAACTCAGTAATGGCCTGTTAATTTTTTAATGCCTTTATTGAGTAAGAGACAAAGTAACTAATTCTCTTCCCTGCGCCCAACAGTTCAATGAATGAGCTCTTACAAAGTTTGCGGCAGGTCAGGTTACCAGAGCTCCGATTCCTGTGCTGTGTATTGGAGTACAGGCAACTTTTGCAGCACTTTCCTCCCCTGGGCAATAAAGGAATATTACGTCCTCACTGCTGATTGCTATCTGCCCTCGTGAGGCTGCATCTCAGTGCTTCGGAAAGCATTTGTTCTATTTGTAAAGCAGGTTGAGCTATCTCATAGAACCCTATCGTAGAGTGGCTTAGGTTGGAGGAGACCTTAATGGTTGCCCAGCCCCAACCCCCTGCTATGGGCTCCTGCCAGGGCCCCATCCATGGCCTTGGGCACCTCCAGGCATGGGACATGGCCCACCTCCATGGGCTGTCCTGCTTACAGCCAGAGAGTCCTGTCTGCTGCCAGCACCTGTCTGTCCTGCAGTGTTGTCAGCAAGAGTGAAACTCCAAAAAGCTTTGGTTCTGCTTCCACAGATCCTGAAAGCTTCCTGTGGATCGAGGTCTGGTGATGGCAGAAGAGGAAATAGGGGCGTTACCTTCTGCATGATGGACAGCTTATGGGACAGGCATATTTTGACCTACAGTGCGATGTTAATGAGGTGAGGCATCATTAGCCGTGCACTGGTTCATCAGCAGATGGGACGTCTTCAAATTGTCCCTATGGCATGCAGTGTTGTGGTGGGAACTGGTTTGATCTCAACACCTTTCTTCAGCAGTGATGTCCAGAGCTGAATTACATGTTCAAGGCTGTGTGTGCCTTCCCTTTTCTCACAGGCTATTCAAAAATGGATCGGGGATAGTGAGATTTTTTTTTTTTTTCCCATTTTTGTGGTGCTCTCCTCCATTAATTTCCTGGTTGTAGTACATTACTCATGGATAATTAAGAGTGAGCTATTAATACAACATTTAATATTCAAGTGCAGTGAAGAGGAGAGAACAATAAGTCAAAGAATCATATACTACAAGACATTTTGGTTTGGTGATGAAATTTTTTTGCTGGCTTTGGCTATCAGAGCATAGTGCTGCTTCCATTTAAGTATGGTCATGAGAACTTCATTTATTGATAGAATACAAATAGGACACTAAATCAGGGGAAGTGAATTTGAATTGCTGGCCATATATACAATTACGAATGAGATTGGCTACTTCTATCTAGTGTATCTTAAGTTAGGAGAATTATGTTAGAGATGGCTAAAGAGAGCTCAGAGTGTCTTAAAATTAATGAGATTGAAGTCTGTCTAGGAGAAGAAATTAATGCTAAAATGCAGCTCTAGCACTAGAGACTGCTTTAAAGAAGTGGTCGTGCTTTGCTCAGATGGAGAAATGCTGGGCTTGTAGGCTGTGCACCAGTGTCAAATAAATATGTTTCAGCCTTCAGTGCTTCTGTTTGCCCCATCATCTCCACACAGTGGGAATGAGTTCACTGCCTGTATTACAGAGGAGAGGGAGGCTTGCAGTGCATGGCTGGGAGCAGTGCCCATAATAAAGTGCAGCACAGGGTTTTCCAGCCTTCTGCCTCTCCGGGTTCTGATGTTTGCTTCTGAGATGCAGTGGTTTTGACTGCCCCATGTCTGCAGAGCTGTGCTTTTCAAGGCAGGCTTTCAGGCTGCTACTTCTTCATAACGACCTGCCAAAAAGAGGAGGGTGCTGCTTTTCTGCTTGCCCCACAAATACAGGGGTGTGCTTTGGAGATGAAGATGTCCACATGCACACCCTATGCAGCAGTGGTGACAGTGCACAACTGGCTGTGCATCACTATCTCCTGGGTGGGAGACACAAGTGGGCTCCAGAGGAGATGGGGTGAGCAATGCAGTGCAATGTAACACAATGCAATGCAACCCTAACCCTAACCTGCAGCCAGGAAGGTAGGAGCCTCAGCACAGCCGTGTCCTGCCTTGTGCAGCCCCAGCTGGGTGAGAGCAATGCTGGGGCTGTGGTTGGACGTGGCTCCTCCAGGCTGTGCTCTGGGGGCTCTGTGGAGATGGAGCACGTAAAGATGTCACGAATCAAGCACATGTAAAGGTTGCTATTTACAAGCAAGTAATTGCAAGAGTTAGCATGCAGCCAGCTGTGACACAGCGCAGGATATTGTTGTTTGTATCCAGTCCATTTGCACACAGCAAGAAGGTGAGTCCGTGCCCCCAGACAGAGCCACGATGCTGCTGCCTGCCAGCCAGCACCGATTGTGGTGCCTGCTTTGGCCACACCATCAGGCCAAATGTCTCCCTTTGGCATCAGGGGTTTGCAGCAAGAAGAGGGTGGCTCTTCTGGCTCTTGTGCACAGAGTTCCCATCAGATTTTGCATGTAGGGATGTCCCAGGGTGGGGTGTCTGATGGTGAGGGCAGATGCACCCAATCGCACCCACTTACATGTGCAAACACCACACGTATGTAAATACTCACACGTTATTTTGTTTGATGAGCTGAATAATTGGTTGTTTACAGATCGGAAAGGGTAAGTGTGCTTCTGACCTTTCTGCATGAGTGTTGTTTATAGTTAATAATGATGCTGCTAACTACGCCCATTCTGTTAATGGGGCTTTTCTCTCCTACAGGCAGCCTCTGTGCACACTGAATCCTAAATACTGGGTCCCTAATCTCTGTAGGGATTTAAAAAAATAAAAATAAAAAAAAATCCCAACCATTCCGAAATGGGGGATGTAATTAAACATAGGCACTATATTGATTCCTAATTAAGCAGCAACAAAACAAATTATTTGCTGGTATAATAAAAATGTTGTCAGAGCGTTGACAGTATTTAGGCAGAAAGCTTTCCCCAGCCCATTGTGCACACGCATTTATATGTGTCATACAAATAGCTGCGTTTGTCAGTAGAGCCGCCCACTGTAAAATTGCGTTTGCATCTTTGGGGATGAGGCTGAGCAGAGCAGCACCGCTTTGCTGTAGTTTCTCCGTTTCTTGAGGCTGGAGCAGTGTGAGCGCGTGTGTGAAGCTGAGAGCAGGAATCTGGGGGAGGGGAAGGGTTTCAGCAAACATTTCCTTACCAAAACAGCCCTGACCTTTGCGGTGCTGGAGCTGTCTGATACAACAGGCTGAACCTTTCCAGACAAGAGCTCCGACCTGAAATGCTTCAGAGCAGAATTGATGGCCGCCGCTTTGGCCCCGCTGTTTACATCCAGTGCTCGCTTGGCCGCTGATGCGAGGGAAGGAGAGGGGCTCGTTTTGGTCATGAATGAGAGGGTCTGCTTTTCTGTGCTGGGGGCTGAACGCCGTTAATTGAAGCTGAGCAAGGAGTGTGTGTGCTGTTCCTACAGCGCATCGCTGGCGGCGTGGGGAGCCGCTCAGTGAACGGGCGGCCGGGCAGGAGGAGATGCTGCTGTTTGTGTGTCCTGTGGTGAATAAAATTAATCAACTCTTTATGTCTGAATGACAGCCCAGGGACTGTACTCGTGCTGTAGCTCGGTGTGGAGTGGCTTCATCCCAGTGCAGGTCCTCTGGGGCCCGGAGCTTTCGATTCATTAGTTGTCAGGCTTGTAGGTGGATTCTGCATTAGGCCTTTAATTTAGTGTATTGCCATGGGCTACTGACCACATGACACTGCTCAAATGTGAGCAAATCTAACGAGGATCCGGGACTGCTCTTTAATTTGGTGAGAATAACAGAGTGAATAGGGGCCCAGAGACTGTTAATCATAAAGCAAAACTAGTTGAAACCAGGTCAGTTGGTGCTGATTTTCAGTGTAACGTGGATGGAGAAGTCGGTGATGGAGCTGGAGCCGTGGCTGTGGCGTGCGGCCCCACTGCCAGGCAGGGAGCTGAGCCCTCATCCCTGATACTGGGGACACTGGTGGGTGGTGCCCCCTCTTATGGGAAGCACTGCCAGCCCCAGCCACCAGCAGGGACATGCTGTTGTTCCCGTGCCCTGCTGTCTTACCTTGCTTGCTCCTCGTGCTAAGCACCATCCAGTCCCTACGGTTAGATTTGTTTCATACAATAAACAAAGTCATGCTGCTCTCCTGCTGGCTGTTCCTGGACGAGGTGCTGCTCCCCTCTGCATGAATCACACGGATTTATTGCCTTATACTGGAGTGGTGCCTGAGCTCGGCTGGTTTCTTTAAATCTTTTTTGGAGAAGGGTGAGCTCTGGGAGAGGGGGCACAGAAATCCTCTGTAGTAATTCCTGTTGACTGCAGTGACCAGTGAGGCAGAACTGATCAACTGCAGGCTTCCCTGCTGCTGAACTCTGCCAACAAAGTGCTTACATCTGCTTTTACGCTAATGGGAACTTTATGGACTGGTTTCCCCCCACAAGGAGCGAATTCCAGCAAGGTCAAAATCCAGAAAGTTGCCACTTGACACCAGCACTGAAGCCCTGAGCCAGTTGGAAGAGACAAGGTTGCACAGAGGATCTTCTGGGGGTATGAGAGCTAACATTATCACATGCAACTGATAGGCTGGAGCCCTCCCAAATGCTCTTGCTGCCATCCTGCTCCTGGGCTGCGTGGCCTCTGGCTTAGTCCCTGTGACTGCTGTAGGGAGCAGAGGGCTTTCTCTAGCCTGGTTTGGGAGCAGCAGCTCTGCAGTAACCTGCCAGCCACCAGCCCTGCAAAGCTTTCCCTGCGTGGGCATTCCCAAGGGCACATCGTGGGGCACACAGGGAGAGCTGCTCCAAGCACATGCGTACTTGGCGATGTGGATAAGAAGTGACACAGTAGAGGGAGGCTCTGGGTACGGAGCTGTTGGCAGCTCTGACTTTGGGGTGCTGCTTGCTGTATGCCACCAGCTGTGACGTTGGAAGGCTTCTGTAGATGTGGACGTAGGCTCAATTTGCACACGGTATCCTGGAGCAGGAGGATGGCACAGCCTGGCAGGCAGCCTGCCTGTTATCTGTGCACAGAGCCACAAACGTTTGTGCCGTGGGTGCGTTGGATACCAAAAATGTGCAATGATTGCTTTAAGGGTATGCATCTTTTTGAGTTTAATAAACGACCATTCCGCATTAATGTTTATTAAGGTGATGAATACTTTAATTTGTGTGGAAGAGAGTTTACAGAAATGTAACTTGCATCTACGCGAGAGTCACCATTCATTTTTCAGGAAATATAATCAGTCCAGACAAGGCGTGCTGAATTGTGGCCTGCAGAATGTGATAGATTATGGATGGTCTCTGATTAGCTGTCTCTTTTTTAATCTAACGTCGCAGGGGCCTAATTGCTTTGACTTTGACTGAACAGGAGATGGATCCCTTAGTGGTGCCCGTGGAGCTGTGCCCTGGGCATGGCCTCCCCTGTTCCGAGATGGGCACCCCAGGGTGCTCACCCAGGCCTTGCTGTGGTTCTGTGCCACACGGGGTGCTGCTCTCATTGCTCCTAAACCCACAGCCTTAGCAGCGGGGTGAGCTGAGCCTCAGCCATGCATTGTCCCCCCTCTCCTCCCACTGCACTCCGCAGTGACGGCTGCCTTCCAACCAAGGGAGAGGCGATTTCAGAGCAGGCAGCAGTGAATGAATTCTGTTTTTCTCAAGCATTTAGTGTTGCTTTCAGTTTGCTTTGATGATGCCTTCTCACAACTAGTGTAAACAGACTGCGCAACAGGGAGCACTCACATGTGTACAAGAAGCTGCACATGAAAGGCAGAGGCATCTTGAAAGCCATAATAACGCTCTGAGTGCCAGTTAAAGGATTTGTCACTAAGAGCACTTTACAGACAGAAAGAACTTATTAACTAGTGTGACTAACAGCTTGCAAGGTTTAATTGATGTGTGTTTGTTGTCCTTTTATATCTCTCCCCCTCGTCTTCCTCTTGGCACCGGCTCCAGCAGCAGCCTCTGAGCTCTCTGAAGGGGTACCAGCACGGAAGCCAGGGCAGTGCCCTGCTCCTGTGGTTGGGCTGGGGCTGCTCAGATCCCTGGAGCTGCTCCACACCATCCTGTTCCCAGCCGGGAGCTGAGGCCAGGCTTATTTTCTTGCTCCGGGTTCTGTTATTCCTCCCTAAGTGACGTTGAGTTTTTGAAGATAAAGCTTTTCAATGCATGAATAGTATGGATAATTAATGTTTCTGCCAGACAGACCACTCATCTCAAGATTGATTGACTATTAAGGTCATAACGCAGCAGCCACCCACACGCAGCAAACAGTCTAATGTTAGACTTCAGCTTAAGCTGAGAGTTGGTCAGCTGTCCACGGTCACAGTGGGGGCTTCCAGTCATCTGTCAGCGAGTGATTGATTGATGTGGACACCTTCCAATCTTATTCTGATTATTCTCAGCAGCTTGCCTGGTGGCCATTTTTCAGGAGTTGGCAGCATTCAGACCTCCAAGACTCAATGCAGTGACTGCGTGGGGGTTAACCCCTTCCTTTGATCCAAAATGTCTTTGTTATGGGCAGTGACTGCAGCACATGAGGGAGGGGCTGTGCTTATGAGCCCTGCTTACAGAAAGCACTGGGAAGCTCCCCGCGACCTCGTGCGAGAGCCATGCTTTGACTTTCAGACATTTCCAATTAACTTGGCTTGAGTAAAGCTGCAAACAGAAGATCTGCAGCAAACCCATCTGGAATAGAGCAGATGCTTTGTATTCCCACTCCTTATCGGGCCGTTTTCTGTGGGTAGTTTAATGTGCCACAGAATAAACTGTGCATCAACACCCCGGCAAATTCTAGTAGCTCAGGTGGGAGTGAGTTTGGTCTTCAGAAGGGGGGAAAAATGTAGATGTAATTGTTCTGGTATGAGAAAGAGCTCTGCTGATAAGGATAGCTCCCAGTTCCATGCTATGAGCCCACTGGGAGAAAGCCTGGGTGCCTTCTGTATGTGCTCGTGAAGATGACTTAAATACAGCTGTAATATTTTATGCATGTATTGTATTTATGCACATACATGTCATTCGGAAAGTGAAATTACAATTATGTATGCTACATAGTGTATGTTTACAACACACAAGCATATTGTAGAAGGTGTTGGCTATTTCTTTGGTAGCAGGAATGTAATGGAGATTTCCATTTTCTTTTATATTTTTCAGTGGTTTTTAGTTTAGCTGTTTTTGAGGGTGCTGCCACCTCGCTTGTTCATCTTCCCATTCACTTCCCATCCATGACTTTAGCATTCATAACGTACCCTAAGAATCCTGCCATGGGGAAACATCAAGAGCCTTTTCTCCTACAAGAGTTATATCTTTATGTAACTCAAGTGCACCATTGCATTTTTATGGCGCAATCTAAATGCTGTAACTTAGCAGAGCTGGCTATTGTGCACGACAAGAGAGCTGTGCTGGGTGCTGGTGCATTGGCATGCATTCATCAGGATCCCAGCACAGCCTTGAGGCCCTTCTCGGGCCATAGCAACTGGCTGCACTTTCTTTTCATGGAAGATGCTGCTCTAGGATGATGGTCCAGAGCCCCTGGGTGCCAGCATCTCTGCAGACACAGGCTCTGAAGCCCCACCAAGCTTCCATAACTCTTGCTGAGTTTTGCTAACCCGCTCTGCTCTCCATCCGTTATAGGTTGCAGTTTGGCCCAGAGCCACGTGGATGCCCTCCCAGCTGGCATCCCCAGGCAGCACCGTGCTGCCCTTGGTGCCGACTGCCTCCTGGACCCCAAGGACTATGCCCTGGCTCACAGCTGGGCAGGCTCCCACTCAGAGCTGCTGCACTTGGCAGGCTCACTGGCAGCAGTACTCACCTGCACCTAAGTGAGAACACGAGCCCCAGATGCCCACTAGACCTGGTTGGCCCTGGCAGGAGACAGGATGGACAGGAATGTCAGCCTTTGTCCACAGGTAGGTGCACTGTGGTCACGGTGATGGAGAGAGTGAGGGAGGGTGTGTACAGGTTTGTAGGGTGTATACTGGGGACGTGTTCCACACTGAGAGGGCTGATTCAGTTGCATAAATGCCACTAGCCTGCTGCTTTCACAGAGATTGCCTCCCAGAGGCGTTCTCTGGAGAGAACGTGCACAGCACAGGGTGATGGAGATGCTGACCATCCCTTCCTGAGGTCAGGATTCTCTCCTTATCCAGCAGTGGTGCAGATTGGGTAGCAGCAACAGCAGCAAAGTTCTCCCTGGGCTGTGCTCCTGTTCAGCCTCTAAGGTCACACTGGGCTGGGTCTGAGAGGCAGGGACCTTGCCAGGCTGGCTTGGAGAGCAGGGCTGGCAGGGCTGCACTGGGGAGGGAATGGAGTAACCTGCAGTTGGAGAAGCTGAGGCAGGGGTCTGAAATGCCGTGTGCCCTCTGCAGAGTTCTTCCAGGGTGCAGCAGTGTTGTGTGCAGGGCTTCAGCCCTATTGTCAAGGGCTCTGAGTGCTGCATGGGAAAGAAGTTCTTCTAAGGGCAAGAATTTGTCACCGGGAGTCTTCATGCCAGCACCATGGCCTTCCCCTTTCCTGTGCATCCCATGCTTCTGCTTGTGTACTTAGCTCCTGCTTGGTCTGGTGTGGAGGTCTTTGTGGATCAAGGGGAAGGCCTGTGATAGTAAGAAAATGGGTCCATCAAATGCAAGTGGGTTCATTTTGGCCATGAAGATGTGTTGTCTTTCCTTCCAGGGCCTGCCAGGGGTCACCCCTGCTTGGTGCAACACAGGATCTCAGGCATTTTCTGTAAAAGCACTCTGCTATCATCAGCATTAACAGCTGGAAGATGCAAAGTGCTCTGGGATTGCCACGAAGTGTAGTGAAAGTGTGGGAGATGATGAATCTGTTCTCCAGGAGAGAGACTATAGAGCTGCTCATTTACCTTTGTTAGGCAGCAAGCAGATTGTCTGGGCACAGCCATGCCGTGGTGAAGAGTTGAAAGGCCCCAGCAGTGCCTGCTGACAGCTCCAGCTCAACAGGGGGTGGAGGATTTCCCTGCAGCAGCCCCAAACCATGGATCCAGAGCAGTGCTTGTGCTGTGAACCCTGGGATGCACTCGACTCATGGAATGAACCTCTGCCGTGCAATGGTGAGGGCTTGCCAAGGTGTCTCCTGCAACTCATTAGAAGAGAGGTATCACATACTTACTTCTCCCCGTCTGATCTGTAAGATGCCACTGCAGTGATTACAACTTTTTTTCCTGTTTTTTTTTTTTTTTACTCAGAATGTGTGAACGCACTCAATTCAAGGTTAAGCTTCCCATTAAGTCACACAAGTCTGACAAAGAGCTTAAATGACCACGGAAAGCAAAACAGTCACCTGCCCTAGCCAAAAAACCTGAGGCCGTGCAAATTCTCCTCCCAGTCCCTGCAGAGCAGCTCCCAGTGGTGCCGGGTTGCTTGGTGTGGGTCTGGTGGCAGCGTGGTGTCCTTGGAGCCCATCTCATGCTGCTCCCATTGCCATTCCTTGTGAGTGCTGTGCGTGTGCCAGAGGGCTGTGAATGAGGGCTGCTGTGTGGTGTTCCATCACATCCACACATCTTGGTGTCCCCATGCTGTGAGCCTGGCCGGTGTGACCTCGGGGCTCCTCCTGAGGCAGCGCTGGTCTAAAAACACTGATGAAAAGCTGATTAATCCTTGTAAGCGAGCAGCGATAGCTTCTCTCCAGAACTGAAGAGATTACCACTGATTTGTCATCCTGATTGTTTCAAAGAGAGGTGCAATTAGTTGCTCTAATTTAGCTCGCTGAGTGGCATGACAACTGAGATGTAATCAGGAGCTCCGCACACAGCGCAGCCACCGATGGGTGCAGCTGTGCCCACCACCATTTTGCACGCTGAGGGTGGGCCCAAAATGATGGAGCACTGTGTGCTCGAGCCCCTCCAACTGCATCAGGCAAAGTGTGAGTGCTCGACTCTGAGATCAGCAGGGCTTCTTATGGGACAGGCTTTAAGCCACGGGGTTGTGGCTGAGCACCCTGGGGGATGCTGAGCACACCTTTGCCAGGTGCAGTAAAATTAATACTAGCTATAGGAGAGGGTGCACTTTGTGCTCAAGGCCCCATCTGAGACCAGTTGTTGGTTTGGAAGAGGAGCTGAGCTGCAAAGGGAAGCGTGAGGCACCCTGTGGGCTGACACTCCAAGCAGAGGGGAGGGAACGCAGTAGTTGTATGTCCATTTCCAGCAGAACAAAAGAATTCAAAATGAACAAAATAAAGACGATGCTTTAAAAGTAAAAATGGTCTCTGGCTGTTTCTTGGTTTGAAGCTGTCTTTTTTTTTTTTTTTTTTCTTCCTTTCCCTGTGAAGAAGGCATTTTGTTTGCAGAGTGAGCTGGCCGTGCTCGCCATCCCATGGCTGTGTGCGGGCCCCTGGCCAAGCACGGTGCAGCTGCTGGGCTCGTGTTCCCTCTGTCACCCCAAGGTCGTGCATCGCCCCAGCCCCTCTGCTTGGCCGTCAGCTGTTGTCCACCACAGGGCAGGCAGTCCTGTCCCTCCTTCCTTAGTGGTGGTGACACCTCAAGGGGTCGTGGTGGCAGCTCCTGCCTTGCATTCTGCCCAGATCCTGGTGCCAGGTGTGCCAAGCCACACAAATGCCAACAATGGGGATGTGTTCCTGTTGTCTTCCCCAGCCTGGCCAAGGTTGGCCCCTGTGACCTGGCTGAGGGGACACACTGGCACGGAGAGCATGAGCACATTTAAAAGTGTTCCTGCTCCCCTCTGCTAAATATAAGCCCCAGTAGAAAGCCTACCTCTCACTGGTTTTATGTTTCTTGCCTCTGCCTCTGTGCTCCCTGTGCCTGGCAGCAGGCCCAGCTGTCTCCAAGCCTAAGATGAAAATACCCTTGCAAATCCCACTCATAAAAATACCTGCTGTATTCCCAAAACATGCCTGAGATAGCTTCCAGAGAGGATGGGGAGCTAAAATAAGATGCATGAGCTCAGAGCCCCATTTTCCACTGGCCCCGGCGCTCCTGTGGCTGCAGCACACAGAGCTATGGACTGAAATGGAAGTGCTGTAGCACGAGGTGGCTGTTAGCTGCAACTGTGTGGGCAGCATGAGTGCTGCTGCCCCCAAGTCCCTCCTGTGCACCGGCAAGCATGCGGGGTGCTGGCTGTGGGGCTGCAGGGTGCTGCCTGTGGGGTGCTGTCTATGGGGTTTTACCATCAGGGCATTTATAGGAACTGCGTAGTGCTGCTCCAAGCTCTTGTAAGATTCTTATTCCCTAAGGAAAACCTCTGAGCAACAGAGCACAGAGGGAGAAAACCCTCCTGGGCTCAGCACAGTGCTGTCCCGCAGGCTGGCAGCACATGGGCAGTGCAGGGCAGTGCAGCCCGGTGCCCCTGCCATAACATTATTGCTGGGTGCCTCTGGGATGCTCTGCATTATTTGGCAGGGCAAATGCTTTCCTATCTCTTTGGACAATTACTTTCTGAATCTCATTTAACACCGGGATGGATGGCAATATTCAAAGTTAACCACTCCACTTGCATTGCCTTATATGTCAGCAAGTGCTACTTAATGATCTGTGAATGGAGGGAATGCTGGGAATGGGACGGACTGCGAGTGAAATATCTATCCGGAGTCTATAAATAATGCAGCCTCTTTATGCTTTGCACGGTTTGGAGCTTCATGGGAGGAGCATCTCCCTGCTCTGACTGGAAGAGCCTGCAAGTGATTTGGGAATGAAACAAAGGCGATGAAATGCAAGGAGAGGAACCATTTAGTTTCTGAAATACCTTGTAAATGTGCATCTGCCCTTCTGGCCAACTCCTCGGCCCACAAGCACCAGGGCATATCCCCAATACGACCAAGCACCGAGCGACCATGAAAGCACCCAAAGGAGCCCAGGGATGGCAGCTTTGAGACTTCCAATGCACAGGGAGTTCCTGGTTGGGAATGGGTCAAATAGGTTCAATTAATTACAGGATACGTTTCTGCCATAAACAAATATTCTGCCACTGCTCTGCATCTCTTCTGAAATGTACCGTGCACGGCACTTGTGATGACATCTGTGTAATTAATAACTGCAGAGCAGGAACGAGCCGGTGGTGCACCAGCGCCGCGATGATTGGGAACGCTCAGCCTGGTGTTATCTGCTGCTGAGCAGGTGGAGCAGCCACGGTGTGGGGCTCACTGCTGGGCCGTGCCTGGCTTTTATTTTTAACACCCTGCTCCCAGGCGGTGACAAGGCTTCGCTAAGTGAGGTAATAGCCAATTGATTTTGTTCCGTTTTGCAGTGGGCAGTAATAAATCACGCGGCTTGTCAGGGGGTGTTTCATGTTTTCAGTGAGAGTGTGCCAGCAATTAACCATCAGAAAGCTCTTGTGGCTCTGCTCTTGAAGACGTGGCTGCGGCCTGAAACTCAGGAATGCGAGGCCCTTCGCCACCAGCACAGAGTGGCAGTGGTGGAGATTTACGGGGGGGTTTATTTCCAGGCTCCGCGGAGGACAGAGAACTCATTGATGGATGAGCTGCAGCAGCACCGCCCTGCAGAGAGGGGGCACGGGGAGGTCCCCGTTCCCAGCCCTGGATGTAGGGATGCGGTGGGACATGTTAGGGGCTCAATGCAGGGGAAGGGGACATGGGTGCATGGCAGCTGTTTTGGCAGGAATCCCCTCTCCCATCAACTGCCCTGAGTGCTGCAGCCCCATTGTGCTGGCATGGACCTGTGTGCTGCACTGGATGTGGAGAAGGGAGAGCAGGACAAAGGCTGCAACCCAAAGTCCACCTTTGTGTCAACTCTGCTTTACCCAGTGCTCTGAATAAGGTCTGGCTGGCTGGGTGGGTGAATGGGCACTGCTGGAAGGAGATGCACGCTGGCACAGCTCCGGTGCAGTGCTCCAACACAGTGCTGAGCTGGGCTCTGCATGCAGACACCAGATAGCACAGCTGCAGCCCAGATAAGAAAGGAGCACAATTGCAGCCCCAGCTCAGGGAAACCCAGGGCACTGCAGCCACACAGTTCAGGCTGCAGAGCTCACCTTGCTGCTGCACCCTTGCTATGCTCCAGTGAGTGATGCTGGGGCCATCACCATCCTGCCTGGGTCCTGTGTGGGCTGAGGAATGTACAGATGATGGTGGGCAGTTGGGTAAAGCAGGGTCCTTGCAGCTCGATCCCTTCCCCCCAAACTCTGTCTTGATGATTCCCAGATGGTAGTCGCTCTGCTTTTATTTCCCCTAACCTTTGTTGCTCTGGAAAGGCAGAGCACAGAGTCAGAGATAGAGGACGGGGTGAGGGCAGCGGTGGGGAGGGTCGGGACCCAGGGGAATAATGCTGATTTCAAAGCCGGGCCTTTCATTGCCTCATTTGCATTTGGAAATAAGGAGTGACTGCTTTGCATTCAGGGCTGGAAGGCAGCCA